GCATCTGATACGTAGCTCCGATATGTAGCGATGCAGACAGAAGCGTGTACAGTATGAGCCAATCAGTGGCAGTAATGACAGAGCATGCGCTGTTATGCAAAAACCGCGATAGAGTGAAGCCGCGGAAGTCAAAGCGCGAAGTGGGCGAGGGTTCACTGTATTTAGCAAATTCTTCAATTGGAGTTTATCTAGGTACAAACTTTTCGGGAGCTAATACATATTCATGGAAGAAAGAGCAGGCTTCTTACCCCGGGAAGAGTTACAGTCTCATAAACTCATAGGGTTGTTATGAGTTGGCATCCTCTCAATGGCAGTGAATTTTTTTTGTGTGGGGGTGGCAATTACATACTCAATGCAAATTAAAATTTAGCTATGTTTTCTCTTTCTTTTTGCATCTATCACTCCCTTATCATTATCATTTTAAATCATTTTGGGGGGGGGGCTTTGGGTTTCAGTTCAAATCTCGCTATCAAACTAAAAGTTCTAACTTAGGATGTTCACTACTTGCCGACAGACAATGAAAGGCTTCTGTGGCACAGCATTCAGCATCAGGCCCAGGCTCTCCTCACCCATGGGGGCTGCCTGGGGCAGATGAAGGTGTCTGCTTCAGGAACGAGGACAGCCTTAGGACCTTACAGGACAGGCCTACTCTGTCCTAGAGGGTGTCTCTGAATTGAACTAAAAGTAAAATGCAAAGCAAACAAGTAAACACACAAACAGATTTTTAAAATTGTAGATAAACTGTATCAGCAGAAGTATATGTAAGCTTGACTACACAGACAGGGAAACATTTTGAAGCAACTAAAGAGGCCTATACAAATGGGAGGATGTGTCCTGCTAGTGTTAAAAACAAACAAACAAACAAAAACCCTTCAAATTTTATCATTGTTCTCTCAAAAGAAAATTCTTTCTTCTGCTGCTGGAAGTCTTTGGCTTTTCCCCTAGCATAATCAGCATGACCTTTATTGAAATTTCTGCTGGTTTCAAATAAGACAATTGTGAAAACTCCAGCAGCTTCGGGCAGCCCTAATTTACGAAAATGTCACTCTCTGACACTGGCAAGTCGCAGTTCAATTTTTCAATTTTTCAATGACTCTCTAGTTCTTAGAACTTTAAATTTCATGTTGTCACTATAGATCTAGGAACTTTTTTTGGTGGGTGGGAGGTTTCCTGTGTTCCAGATCCAACATAAATCTGAGCCAGGATTCTAAGGGAGAGACAACCCAAGTCTTTTGTCATCTTAATGAAGGTTTTTCTCAGATTCATAAACACTCATGTATACTAAATTAAAAGTGTTCTAGTCAATTGCTCTTTCTCTTCCTCTTGCTTTCTTTGTAAATCATTATTTACTGAAAGAAAACTAATACGTTTGGTCAAAGCCCCAAGTTTTCTCCAGTATTAACTAAAATAAACTGTGTCTTAAATATAAACTCATATTTTCTGTCCTTAAAATATTTTCACCTAATAATGGAGACACACATTTCAAATCTAGCATTAATGTAGGTAGTGAACAAAACCTTCAATATGATTCTGAGTAGGCTTACTCTTTTCAGTTGGTGCATTGATGGATAATCCAGAGGGTTCCAGGTCCACCATCATTGCAACAAGGTCGTCCAACTTGAAGATCTAGAAGCAGATACTAATTGGGAAACAAGAGTACTAATAAACAACATTGAACCACATTCATATTTCCTCCGAACTTGAAATATTTATCTCTCATATTTTCATGCCTAGCATCTATAGGTCTTACTCATATTTATGAAAATAACTACTTCTTCGTTCTATTTAAAATAACTACTTCTCTAACAATAACCGACAACCAAACTCCATGAAAACTGAGATTTGCTTATTCTCAAATCCTACCAGAAAGCAAAACAAACAAAATTAAGATTAAGAGTCTACCTTAAGCATTTTAAATGTTAAATGGAGTTGTTGATTTTCATAACGCTATGTATCACATAGGAAACGTGGAAGTAGAGGAAGGCCATTAACAAACGGGAGAGACACAATGGCTGCAGCCATGGGCGCCGACGTGGGAACAATTGTGAGGATGGCGCACGAAGGTGCACTGTATTGTTCTGTTGCTCAGAGGGTCATTATGAGCAACATTTCTAGCTAGTAATGCATGCATATAGCAACAGTAAAGATTCTATTTTTTATTTAAATCCATAACATATATACTTGTGTATAAGCTGACCTGAATATCAGCTGAGGCACCTAATTTTACCACAAAACCCGCATTAAAAATGTGCTGGAAAAGTCGGCTTATACATGAGTACATATAGTATATGCTTTTGAGGTAAATTTGTGCTTCGATGCCTTCTTAGTCAACAAACATGGTTTAGGTTGATCAAATTAGTTAGGCCTAGTTTAGGAAGTCATCTGGTTTCAATATTAATTTAAGCTGTATACTTAAACCACTGTTTCTTGGCCTAAGACTCTGGACTTGATGGAAGATTACGTATAGAATTTGACACAGCTGGCTTTTGTGAGATAAAGGGAACACGTGGCCCTAGGAGAGCGGTCTTGGGAAGCACTTGAAATTGGGCATCAGGTAGTATGAGAAAAGTGTGAGGGAAGGTTCGGGGGCAGCATGCCTTTGGAAGGCAGACTAAGTATGGGCAGAGCCAATGGATGAACAGAGAATTGTTAAGCAGGCTAAAAGTCGATTCATATCTGTTGCTTTTATGTAGCTGTGAGACATTGGAAAAAAGAAGTATGATTACTATATTATATGAGAATTGGTTAAAGGATTAAGAATTTTCAACACGGAGAAAACATAGGGAAAACATCATGGCTGTTTATATATTTCTATTAGATTTAGCCCAGAGAAAGAGGGAAACAATAATCAAAATTTATGAATAACTTTCTAATAATTCAGAATATCAACCAATTAAAAGATAGATGCATTGTCTTATAAGTGAAAGTTCTTAATCACACGATCCACCATGTCCAGGGCTGTTTTAGAGGGCATGTCTGCTTTGAGTTGAATGCTTCTGAGTTGGATGATTGTTCATGTTTTCTATGCGATTGAATTCTACAATTTACACTTTTTCCTGTTTTATTCATCATCATCAAATGAGGGAGACTGAAGAAGAATCAATACATTTGAATTGTGGTGCTGGAGAATAATATCAAAAATATCATGGACTGTCAAAAGGACAAACAAATTTGTCTTAGAAGAAGTACAGCCAGAGCACTCTTCAGAGTCAACGATAGTAAAAATTCTTTTTACTTACTTTGGACAGGTTGTCAGGAGACACCAGTCCCCAGAGAAGGACCCCATGTTTGGTCAAGTAGAAGGACAGCAAAGGAGAGGAAGATCCTCAAGGAGGGGGACTGACGCCGTGGTTAGCACCCTGAGCTCCAGCATGGGAACGCTGGTGAGGAGGGCGCAGCACGGGGCTGTGCTTCCTCCCACAGGGTAGATGGAGACTGTGAGTCAGGACAGACAAGATGGCACCAAACAAGGATGACGACAGTTCACAGAAAGATCTATGATCTTTATACCATGTAGACAGTTGCCTGCTGA